CCCAGGGATGAAGAACAGGCAGCAACACCACAGACACACCAGGCATGAACGAACAGAACAGGCAGCAGCACCCAGGGATGAAGAACAGGCAGCAACACAGACAGCACCCAGGGATGAAGACCAGGCAGCAACAACACACAGACGCACCCAGGGATGAAGAACAGGCAGCAACACACACAGCACCCAGGGATGAAGAACAGGCAGCAACACACACACAGCACCCAGGCATGAGAACAGGCAGCACAACACACAGACAGCACCCAGGGATGAAGAACAGGCAGCAACACACAGACAGCACCAGGCATGAAGAACAGACAGCACCCAGGCATGAAGAACAGGCAGCAACACACAGACAGCACCCAGGCATGAAGAACAGGCAGCAACACACAGACAGCACCCAGGGATGAAGAACAGGCAGCAACACACAGACAGCACCCAGGGATGAAGAACAGGCAGCAACACACAGACAGCACCCAGGCATGAAGAACAGGCAGCAACACACAGACAGCACCCAGGGATGAAGAACAGGCAGCAACACACAGACAGCACCCAGGCTGCTGCCCACATGCTGACCAGACAGAAATACCGACAGAGAACAACACATATAAATATTATGGACAACTAAATGAACATTCCATCAACCACTACTTCCAGACTGCTGTAAGTTCCACCAGCCAATACATAAGCAGATACAACTAATGCCTCTCACCAACAGCGCTAATACAACTAATGCCTCAGATACAACTAATGCCTCTCACCAACAGCGCTAATACAACTAATGCCTCAGATACAACTAATGCCTCTCACCAACAGCGCTAATTATCCACCCGATACATTCAATTATCTGTCACTTATCGTTAATGCCCACGAAATATATTCATCATTTAATAATAAAAAAAATCAACTAATAAACGTATAAATAAAGACAAGTGATGTTTGTTGTTCTGGAGTAAGTCTACAGCATAAATATACTACTGGCATAATAAATATACTGTAATACAGCATGATATATATACTACAGCATGATATATATACTACAGCATGATATATATACTAGCATGATATATATACTACAGCATGATATATATACTAGCATGATATATATACTACAGCATGATATATATATACTACAGCATGATATATATACTACAGCATGATATATATACTAGCATGAGAGGGGCTGATGGACTATCTGGAGCCTCGGTCAGGTAGAGTTAAAGAGGCGTGTGACTCTACTGGAGCTCGCCTTCATCCCCCTAGCATGTGTTGCGGGAGCTACTTTAGTATTTTCGGTGATAGGGAGCAGAGTGGTAATGGATGGGGAGAGGGTGGAGGTTTAGGGAGATGGGTGGGGGGGTTGGGGAGAAGAGGCCGGCCGAGAGAACATGTCGGGTGATGAAGGGGGGGGGGGGGGGGAGGGGAGAAGGGAAGGGAGACAGGGGGGGGTGAAGGTGGGGGGGGGAAGGGTAGGGTGACAAAGGGGGTCTTGAGTCTGGAAGATGAGACAACGGCAGTGTTGTATGGGGTCCAAGGTGGGGTAGTGAGTGTATAGGGGTCCAAGGTGGGGTAGTGTATGGGGTCCAAGGTGGAGTGTATGGGTCCAAGGTGGGGTAGTGAGTGTATAGGGGTCCAAGGTGGGGTAGTGTATGGGGTCCAAGGTGGAGTGTATGGGTCCAAGGTGAGGAAATGAGTGTATAGGATCCAGAGTGGGGTAGTTTATGGGGGTGCAAGGTGCGGGGAATATACAGGGACCATGGTGGGGAGGTGGTGGAGGTATAGCGACGGAGGGGGCGTGGCGGGAGGTGGTTGGGGATGATTGACTGGGTGCTAAGTGGGAGAGGAAGAGCTAGATGGCTGGAGGAACGCTGAGTGATGGCAGGAATACCCACCTGACTCAAATAGGACCAGCTGACAGATGAGCTCGATATATATATATTATATATATATATATATATATATATATATATATATATATATATATATATATACATATATATATTGGTCTCATAAAAACTGTGTAGATTGCCTTGAAGAACTCCTGATTTAGATTTCTAAACATTCTAATATTTTACTTGGCAGCGTCCCATATGCTGCCGATGTTACCCTGTTTATGTGGGGCCTCTGGTGCTCTGTGTTGGAATTATATCCACTCTGAAATCTCTTCCTCCGATTCCTGTAGCTACACATTATTGTGTAGGCACCTCGTGTTCTCCCTTGTGTCAGCGACGACACTTAAGATGTTAACGTGGTCTTCTTGTCTCACTGTTCAGTTGGTAATTCCTGACGGAGCGATAATACCCGTCAGAACCATTTACTAAACATGCACTATATTAAAAAAGGTATTTTATCGGCGCTCGAAGTTAACAACCCACCTAACCTTAACCAACCCACCTAACCTTAACCAACCCACCTAACCTTAACCAACCCACCTAATCTTAACCAACCCACCTAACCTAAACCAACCCACCTAACCTAACCTTAACAACCCACCTAACCTTAACCAACCCACCTAACCTAAACCAACCCACCTAACCTAACCTTAACCAACCCACCTAACCTTAACCAACCCACCTAACCTTAAACACACCCATCTAACCTTAACCAACCCACCTAACCTAACCTAACCCAACCCACCTAACCCCAACCCCCTCAACCTAAACCTAACCAACACTTAACCAACCCACCTAACCCAACCCACCTAACCTAACCTTAACCAACCCACCTAACCTTAACCAACCCACCTAACCTTAACCAAGCCACCTAACCTAACCTTAACAACCAGTAGAACGTAAGGAACATATTTCGGAGGATATAATTTTGACCTGTAGATAGGATACTATCAAAATCAATATTATTAATATATAATTTGGTTATTATTGATTTTAATAAAAAAAATTTAGTTCATTAA